AGTCACTGAGTCTAGGACTTGAACTGCAGTCTATTACATGTGAGTCCAGTGACGTAACCGTTACGCCATCTGCTGGGTCCATGCCAGAGTGATCTTAAAAAGAGAAACCAGACCATTCTGTTTTCATTTTTCAAAACCCCAAATGGCTTCTAGAAATTTTTAAAGTGAAGTCAGACTCCTTTCTGTGACCTAGAAGACTTTGCATGTTCTGGTCCCTGCTCACCTCTTTGACCTCATCTTTCTTTTAATTTTTTTTTTAAGAGGTTTTTGCTATAGGGCGTGTGCGCTTGCCAGAAAGACAGAGAGAGACAGAGAGACAGAAAGTGAGAAATCACACCCCAGGGGGGATGGCCATGCCGCAATCCCTTCTCCTCCATTCTCCCCTTGGGATCTTGGGCATGCACGTACACGCGCCTGGCCTAAGTTTAAGCCACCGGGTCCGGGACTCGAACCACAGTTGACTACATGGGAGTCCAGCGACATAGCCATTACGCTAACTGCTGGTCCCTTGACCTCATCTTTTATTACTCTCTTCCTCAGTTCATAGTATTCTAGCCCATTGGTTATCAAAGTGTGGTCCTTGAGTCAGTAGCATCAGCACCACATGGAAACTAGTTAGAAATATACCCAAGGCCTGCTGTGATGGCTAATTTTGTGTGTCAATTTGACTAGACCATGGAGTGCCGAGATAGATGGCTACACATAATTTCTGGGTGTGTCTGGGAGGGTGTTTCCGTGGATATGGGTCATCATCCAGTCTGTTGAGGGTCTGAATAGAACAAAAAGGCAGAGGAAGGGAGAATTTGCTCTCGGTGCCTGACAGCTTGTGCTGGGACATTGGTTCTCTTCTGCCCTTGGACTGGGACTTACATCAACAACGCTGTGGCTTTCAGGCCTTCAAACTTGGACTAGAACTTACATAATTGGTTCTCCTAGTTCTCAGGCCTTTGGGCTTAAGCTGAAATGACATCACCAGCTTTCTGGGGTCTCCAGATTACAAGTGTCTGTTTGTAGCACTTGATAGCTTCTGTAATAGTATAAGCTGGTTCCTCGTAATAACATTTATTTGTGTGTGTGTGTGTGTGTGTGTGTGTGTATTTATATGCAGTGAAATTTGTTATGAACATTACCACTAAAAAGGTACCTGGCTTATAATAAATAATAAACACATCTTTGCTGAACAAATGAATTACTATTTATTTATTTACATATTTAGTCAGAGGCCATGTACACTTGCTAGAGAGAGACAGAGAGACAAAGAAGAGAAAGTATCCCTCCGTGGGCTGTGTTCATGCAACTCCTTCACTTCTGTTTCCCAGTCATGTCAGGACCTTGGACATGGACAAGTAACCAGGGCTAGGATTTGAACTCTGTGGTCAGCCATGTGGGATCTGGCTCCCTTAATCATCAGGCTGTAGGTTGGCCCAAATTACCAATTTTTCATTGAAGAAATGGACTGATATAAGAAATGATTTGATGAAGGTGGGAATACTTGTAGTAGCTAAGGCCTCATCCTAAATGCCTCATATTAGGTCCAGCGATTTTCTCATAACCCCACAAAAAGTGAAATGACTGTTCTATACTTTCTTGGTTGGCAAGAACAGCTATGTACCTAAAGAACCTGAGAATCTCAGCGTTAGTCGTTTAGCAGTTAACTGGGTCAGCCCTTATCACATATGTGAGTTTCCTTGATGTCCTATCCCGTATACCTACCAAGCCATCCTGTGGTTAGCCACCTAATACATTATTTGCATCTTTTAAAATCTTTTTTCTTATTTTTTAAAGAGTTTCGCCATAGGGTGCATGTGCTCATGAGAAAGAGAGAGAGAGAGAGAGACAGAAAGAGAGGGAAAGTGAGAGAGGGGAAGTAAGAAATGATCCTCGCGGGGATGGTCATGCTACGATCTCTTCTCCATTATCTTCTTGGGATTTGGGACATGCACAAAACATGCACCTGGTGTGATTTTTCCAGCCGTCAGGTCCAAGACTCAAACTGCAGAGTCTACTGTGTGGGAGCCAGTGCCTTAACCACCAAACCATCTGCTGGCTTATTATATTTCTTTTAAGTGAGGGGTCATCTGTGTCTCACATGGGTTGCTATCTTAGGACTAAATAATACTCTATAATTTATGAGCAGTTTTATATGCAGTCTCATGTTTACCTTCAGAGTGAGCTGGGAGGTATAGATTATCCTTATTGTTGTGACTGGGAAGTAGAGACTGGAGGCTGTCAAACCTTCACTGAAACCAGGGCTCTGGTAGCCAGTCCAGCCTTCTTTTGAAGAAGGAGAACAGAAAGTGGTTGGGTGGAAACAGAAGGAAGGACTTTCTGGAGAAAGTGAGTGGGGTTTTGTAAGAGGGAAAAAGCAGGTCAGAAGATAGGGGGGTGTGGGTTCAGTTGAGAAATCGTTGGGGTGATGGAGGGAGATGTACAGGCAGGAACAGACTCTTGTGGAATAGTTTCTTGGCCTAAGCTGCCCATCATAATCACATGGGGAATTTTGTTTTGTATTGTATTGTTCTTGTTTTTGAGAGGCTTTTTGCTATAGGGTGCTCACCAGAAAGACAGAGAGAGAGATAGAAAGCAAGAAATCACCCCTCGGGGGGGGGGGGGGTGGCCACCCCGTAATCCCTTCTCCTCCAATCTCCTCTTGGGATCTTGGGCACGCATGTACACATGCCCGATGCGAGTTTAAGCAGCTGGGTCTGGGAGTCGAACCGCGGTCGATTACATGGGAGTCCAATGACATAGCCATTATGCTAACTGCTGGTCCCACTTGGGGAGTTGTTTAAAGCCCGCTAGCTGGGCCCCGCCCTCAGAGATTCTGTCAGTAGTCCAAAGCGGCCCTCTGTATCATTTTCACATCTCTACATGTATTCTAATGTATAGCCTGGGTTATAAACAATTAGACTGGAGAGTCAGTAACCTGGAGAAGACGGTCTAGGAGTCCTTACTGAGGAGAAATTAGTGAGGTAGATAGAACCAGGCGGGACAAGAGGGCACAAAGCAAACAGAGGGATGATAGGATATGAGGGTTTTGTTTTTTTAATCACTTAATCTTTAAAAAAATATTTACTTATTTGTCTACTGGGTCATTGGGAAAGTCATAATGCATTTTTCTTTGCAAAAATGGGTCATGATTTTTCTGACGACCAATATTTATTTGTTGTGATTTTCAAGCCACGGGGTCCGGCACTTGAACTGCAGTCAGCCAAGTGGGAATCCAGCACCTTAACCACCAGGTCACCTGCTGGCCCCAGGATATGAGTTTCGGAAATAATTTTTTTTCTTTTTCTTTTTCTTTCTTTTTATTTTTTTTTTGCCAGGGGGCACATGTGCTGACCAATGAGAGAGGGAGAGAGAGGAAAGGAAGAAAATACACTCATAGCCGCCGGCCATCCTTTCTCCATTTCTCCATCCTGTCAGAATAAGAGGCATGTGACACATGCCCGGAGTGTTTTTCAAACTATGAGGTTGGAGATTTGAACTGTCTAGTCAGTTGTATGTGATCCGGCTGCCCTAACCCACTAGGCCACAGAGCTGGCCCCTGAAAGGATACATTTTGGGCATAGGGAAACTCTGCAGCCTTCTGTGCAGGAGGCTAATGTATTTTAGGTCCCTGTGATAGACGCATCCCGCATCCTCTTTCTACGTTCATTCCCTCTATCGTCAATCAGAGCAGGACTCCATCAGTACCTTTGCTTACTTCACCCTCATTACAGCTTTGTCTTTTCTCTATTGAGAGACATTTTTGCTATAGGGCTTCTGTGCTCTCTGGAGAGAGAGACAGAAACAGAGAAATCACCACGTGAGGGGATGGCCACTCCCCAGTCCCTTCTCCTCTATTCTTCTCTTGGGATTTTGGGCACATACACACATGCATCCAGTTGTGAGTTTCAAACCACCGGGTCGGGGACTTGAACCGCAGTTGACCATGTGGGAGTCCAGGGCCCTAGCCACCACTTCACTTGTTGGCCCTAGGTCTTTATCTTAAAATGTTTCTGCGTTCTTACTTTTTGGTCTGTCATCTGTGGCGGGACAGCCACCAAGATGTAGATTTTCTTAAAAGCTCTTACAGAAAGACGATCACTCTCACGGCTGAACCGTCAGATACAATAGAAAACATTAAGGGCAACATCCGGGATAAGGAAGGGATTCCTCCTGATCAGCAAAGACTGATCTTGGCTGGCGAGCAGTTAGAAGATGAGCGTTCTTTGTCTGACTATAACATCCCAAAGGAGTCCACACTTCATCTCATGTTGAGACGAGGTGGTGCTAAGAAAAAAAATCTTCTATCATTCCCAAGAAAAATAAGCATAAGCGAAAGATGGCTAAGTGGCTGTCCTGCAGTACCGTGTCATCAGAAAAGTCGATGAATTTTTGCATAGAAAAACAGAAAAATATGTCTGACAACCCAATAATATAAGGTGGATGAAAATGGCAAAATTAGGTGCCTTTGTCAGAGTACTCTTCAGAACATGTGGTCTGGTGTTTTTACCGTCAGCCACTTTGACAATCATTATTGGGACCAGCAGTTAGCGTAATGGCTATGTCGCTGAACTCTCATGTAGTCGACCGCAGTTCGAGTCCTGGTCCCCATGGCTTAAACTCATGCCAGGCATGTGTGCATGTGTGCCCAAGATCCCAAGAGGATAATGGAGGAGAAGGGACTGCGGCGTGGCCATCCCCCCTGGGGGGTGATTTCTTGCTTTCTGTCTCTCTCTCTCTCTGATGAGCGCATGTGCCCTATAGCAAAAACCTCTCCAAAAAAAAAAAAAAAAAAGACAAACATTATTGGGCCAAATGTTGATTGACTTACAGCTTCAATAAACCAGAAGACAAGCAATTGTGTTTGGGTTAATAAAAGAGATGAACTTACCTTTAAAAAAAAATGTCCGTATGGTTTCAAACGCATCACCTGCCACCTTTGCTGCCGAGCCTGGTTCTCTCATTTTTGTCTTGAAGCTTGCAGAAATGTTAGAAAAACTGTAGACACTTACTTGAGAGTGTTATAATCTTTATTTGCAATCTGCTAGCCCAGGTGGTTTCCTGTGCTAGTCAGTGTTGATCTCTGATTGATGGGTGTCAAGCTAGGACCACATCCTGGCCCTTTTGAATGCCATGGAGGAAGGAGATGTGACCCAGACCTCAGGCAGCTCCCGGATTATCAGGGGAGGCAAGATAACACATGAAAACGAGTGGAGCACACTTCAAAAGCAGCAGGTCAAACTGCTGCAGTGAACCCCCCAATCATTAGAGGTCTGAGCCTCCCATCCTCCCTTCTAGTCCCCTCAGCTCAGAACCATTGTGATTTTCTTTGACGTCATTTAATACTTCTGCTCCATCTCTTTCCTGTTAGTTTCTTTCCAACGTCAACAGCTAGACCAGAGTCTAGGTGCTGTTTCTAAGCTCATAGCAAGATGGCTTTAGGCCTCTCTGCATCAGCCTCATCACCCCCAGTTCCCAGCCACTCACAAGGACTGACTTCCTATGGCCACGCTGCTTCTGAAACCCCCACCTGCTAGCCCTTCGTACGTCACCGTTTTTTGTTGCGTTGTGGAGCTATGCTCCTCTGGGCAGGAAAATTCAATCGGGAGGGGTACTGAGCTGCCGCAAGAGGCTTTTACGGAGTCCCTATCATAGATAGGGTCTGAATCTGGGGCAGGAGCCCTCACGCTCTCTTCTCCCAGGCTACCCAACTCCTGTGTAACCTGGAGAGCCCCCGAAGGTCCAGCCCCCCAAGGTCCAGCCCCCGAAGGTCCACAGAAATTGCTAGTCCGTTGTGAAGTCTGAACTCGGCACTCCATCTGCTTGACTCACACCCCTGTCCCCATTCGTCACCTCTGCTGTATCTTTGCCTTTGCGTCCCAAGAGGGAGGAGCCCCGATTCCGCAGCAACTGCAGCCCTCTTCCAAAGGTCCTGCGCACCGCCGAGGAGGAGAAGTAGAAAAGCACGGGGTCCAGGCTGGCATTGAGGGAACTGAACACCACAGCTACCGAGCGCCACTGGGGGCTCTTCCAGTTGTAAAACCCCACCAGGTGAGACACATTGTAAGGGCCGAAGCACACCAGGAAGTTGAGGAGCGTCACCACAGCCAGCCCCACAGCTCGGCGCCGCCTCTGGGCCCCCACGTGCGGCTGGGTAAGCATGATCCACACGAAGCGCCAGTAGCAGAAGATGGTGACGGCCATGGGGATGAAGAAGAGGACCAGGCACAGCTCCAGCCGCACGGGCAGCACCACGTCCAGCTGCTCGTCCGTGAAGTTCTCATAACAGGTGTTTTGGTTTGCATTTTCGGCCTGCTGGGTGGTATTCAAGTACTGGACAATGATGACAATGGTGCAGTGACCAAACGACATGATCCAGGCCACCAGAGCAGCAATCACTCCATACACAGGCCGGCGGGAGAGCTTGTACTGCACGGGGAAAGCCACCCCCAGGTAGCGCTCGATGCTGATGCCCGCCAGGAGCCACGTGCTGCAGTAGATGCTGCTGTAGAAGCCGAAACCCGTGAGGGCACACACGATCTCAGGCAGGTACCAGTGGAAGTTCGATGCAGCCTCAATGATCTTGAAGGGCAGCAGCAGCAGCAGCAGCAGGTCTGCCAGTGTCAGGCTGAGCAGCAGAATGTGCACGGGTGCAGGCTGGGGCTGGCGGACACGTCCCAGGAAGGCCCGCAGGGCCAGGAGGTTGGCCGGGAAACCAGTGAGGAAGATGAGGATGTAGGCCGTGAGGACCAAGGCGCTGTACCAGTTGAGCATTCTGAAGGAACTGGAGAAAAGGGCAGAGTCAGGAGACCCTACTCTCAGCCTGGGGACCTTCCTCTGGGTCAGGATGTGGCCATCCTCCCTGATACTCTCCCCTTCCCAGGCCAAAGTGTTCTGCTGCACCACCGCTCGCTCACACCACCTGCTAGAACTGCCCAGAGCAATTATTGACTTTGCCTTGGGCGGGATATTAGGCAGTAGTTATTACGTTTGCCATCGTGTGTCTCTGGGGGAGACCAACCCTTGTCTTCCTGAGGGAATTCCCCCTCTGCTTTCCCTGTCTATCCTCACAGAATCAGGAAGTCACGGTTATAGGTTTCCAACTGCACGGAGGCCCCTCTCTCCGTCAGAGACCTGCAGGAGAGAATGGCTGTGCAGTGAGGAGGGAGCTGTAAGACCTGTCTCGGGATAGCCAGGCTGTGTGAACCCAGGCACTGCGAACCCACCGCTAGCTCTCCGCAGGACCCAGGTACCCAGTCCTCCTCCCCAGTCTCCCTACCTCTTTTCTTCTCCTTTTGCAGAGCACAGATTCTTCTCTGCCTTGTCCTCCCACCACCACCAGTGCAACGCTGGACTCTTGAAAAGGGGAAGCTGGTGAGCTAACAGGGGCAGCAGAGAGGAAGGGTGAGTTGGCACTGTCCTTTGGGGCTTGTCCCCCAAAGACTTGAGAGAAATATTCAGAAACACCCACGGGCTGCAAGTGGCTCCTGAGCCTGGTGTTTTGGCTATAAATAGAAGTCCTCTTCTTAATGGGGGTGACTCAGTTTCCATTTGGTTTTGTAAACCTCACTGCCCACACACAGTCTTGCCCCTCCATCCTCTCTCCAGCCTCAGTGTCCCGGTCTGCTTCCTGGCCCGCCACAGGAGCTCCCGTCTTTGGGTGTCGCCCTTACATTTCGGTTTCTGACAGACTTCCTCCCCCCGCCCCAATACCTTTCCCTCAAATTCGGGTGCCCACATCTCTGCCCAGAGCACCAGCACTAAGCTAGCTGGCTTGCCTTGTTTTCGTTCCGGATTGATGGCTTCTTGGGAGTAATCCTGAAGGAGAATCTGTAAGCTTCTGGGAAAGAGGAGCAGGGCTTTAGCCACGGCTCCTACTTCACACAGGAAAAATGGTAAGGAACCCGACTGGTAGGAAGTTCTTATACCAGCACGAGTCACATGACCAGAGCGAGAGGAAGGTCAGTCCTCGAGCAGTTTCCTCCCAAACCCCAAGTTAAGGCCCCGAAATCTTCATTCGTTCCCTAGAGGTCCTCACTCAGACCATGCACACAGTTTTTTCCAGTCCCCAGTTCCTGACATGATTTTTTTTAAAAATCCATTGTTTTTTCCATTTTGCAAATCAGACAGTCTTCTTTTCCTTCTATAATTCTACTCATCCTCAGAAAAGAGATTTCCTTCTTCTTTTCTCCATTCAGTTTTCACTCTCTGAGGTCTCCCCGCCTCTGCCCCCGTTTCCTTTGCCCTTTTTAGTTGATACAGGTTGGTTTCTCATAGTCTGCGTCTGGCTATGGTAGACATAGGCTGGGATTTGGAGCCATGCACGTGGGCTCAGATCCAAGTGCCTTCATTGCGACCCGGGCACATCAATTCTCTGAACTTCAGTTTCGTCTTCAGGCCAGTGAGCCTGAGAACACTTACGTCCGAGGATTTCCTGAGGCTCCAATGGGACGGCGTATCCGAAGCGCACAGTGTGAGCGCCTGACGTGGAGCAGGTGTCAGAGTGGTCCCTCTTCATCCCACTGGACGGCTTCATAGAGAGCGGATCACCTGGTACAATCTCCCAGAGGTGTAGGGCACACATATGCTGTCTGACTCGGGAGTGTCCAGAATTCAGGAGCCTGATTCAGGTGCCTGCAGGCTCTTGGTAGGGCAGGATGCTCAGGTGCCATTCCTCCCATCCCATGCTCCTCTCTCCATGGGCTAAACCACCTTTGTTCTTTCCCCTGGTTCCCCACCACCCACTCGCTTGAATAGCCCTAGGTTGGGTTAGAAGCTCTGCCTCGTCTATTTGAAGTACACATGCGAGGAAGCAAGGGTGGTCAGAACGTGTTTTCCTCTTGACTGTGAGGCTGAGTTTCTGTTTTGCCATCTGCAACCTGATCCCTGCTCACAGAATCTACGTTCTTTCTGTAGTGCATACTTTCCTCCATTTGTTTGCTCATTCATTCATTCATTCATTCATTTATTATTTTTGTGGCCTAGAACCCCAGGATTCAATTATCTTGATATTTACCTTTTTTTTAAAAAAAGAATTATTTTTAAATTAAATTAAATTAATTATTATTATTTTTAAATTTGACCAGAGAGAGAGATGGGGGTGAGTGAGAATGCAAGCCACCAGGTCTGGGACTGGAAATGTGATGGCCATGTGGGAGTTCAGCACTTCAACCAGCCACCATGCCACCTGCTAGCCCAATATTTAGCTTTTCTTTCTCTTCAACTCTATCTTCCTGTAGAACCAAAGAGTTAAAAAAATTTTTTTTCAAGTTTATTCATTCATCTCCTCCATGAGAAAGAGAGAGATGGTGGTAGGGTCACCTCTAATAGGCCCATGTCACAATCCACTGGATCACATCATAGCCACGCATACACTTGTTAGGAGTGCCCAGGGATGTCCCGGGATGCAGATGCAGGACCTTTTTCCATGTAGACCCAGCTGCACTGTGTCTATACCACTCCTTTGCTCTCAAAAGAGTTTCGTTTCTTCATTTAACTCTTTTATTCCAACACACACGTGTACTGTTCAGATGAACAGGGTAATCAAAGAAGGAACAATTCTGTTGCTTGCTACCAAATTTGTTTGCATCATTGTGCTTTTGTGATTTTCTGTAAATGTTCATTTACAGAACGATAATTACATCTAGATCGGATGAAGATCTAGATTTCATGACAAATCAGGAACTTAACTGGAAAACAAGAGTTGAGAAGTAAGATTGCCTTTTGATCTCTGTCCTTCGTTCCCCACCTCATGCCTTTCTCTGTCACTGTCACTTGTGTGGAACATACTCCAGGTAAACCCCTTCCCTCATGTTCATGGTAGTTATGAGGGTAACATAAGAAAGGAAACTTTTGAACTCATGGTCCAGGACACCTTCCTACGTCACAGGAAAAGGAAATGCAACGTCTTAGGGTGAATTCCAGGGGATAGGCTTTCATAGAAGTAGTATCTTGCACAACGTCTTCTCAGTTCAGTTTTTTTTTTTTCTGATCATTATAACCCAGCTCATTATAGTAGGAAGTTGGACTCATTATCCAAAGTTACATATAATTGCTTTCTCTATTTTTTAACTTTACAGCCACCCCACAGTCCACTCTAATATAGGCTCTGTCCCAGTTTTTCCATGGGATCTTCTAAGATTTGCAGTGACCTCTCAGTTACTAAGTTCAGAGGACATTTTAATTTTATTGTATTAGTATTCAACACAATTTCCATATCTTTTTCAAAATATTCTTTTTCCATAAGTTGTTTTTTTTTTTTTTAATTATTTCTTTCATGAGTAAGAGAGAAAGAGTACCTTCAGCAGGGTCTTTTTTTTTTTTAAGAATACTTTTTCTTAGTTTAAGAATTATTTTATTTAACTTTATTTTATTAACTTTAATTTGACCATAGAGGGACAGAGTGAGAGTGAGAGAAAGGAAGCGAGAAAGCAAACCACCAGGTCCAGGACTCAAGCCTTGGTTGGCCACGTGGGAGTCCAGTGCCCTCAACCAGTATGCCACCTGCTGGTCCCTTCAGCAGGGTCTTAATGCCATGATCCATGCCCAGCCTGAGCCAGCCCCAGATCATGGACATGCATGTGCCTTGCATACTAAGGGAGGTCTCTGGGTGTGAACTTGAAACCTTTCGATGTGGATTGTCCTTACAGTGTCGTGTTTTACCACTGCACCACCATCTAGCCCCTTTCCATGAATTCTGACATGTTGTGCCTTTTTTTTTTTTTCTTGTAAATTTTGACAGAGGGCTTGTGTGCTGGCTGAAGACAAGAGTATGCATGTGAGAAAGGATCCTCCATGGGGATGGTCACACCACAATCCCTTCGCCTTTTCTCCCTCTTTTTGGGATTTGGGGCATGCATGCACATGTGCCCAGAGTGTTTCTCAAGCTGCTGGGTCTGGGGCTTGAACTGTGCATTTGACCATGTGAGAGCTAGCTGCCACACCACAGGCCGGCTCTTCTTTACTCACTTCTCAATTTGCTAGCTCACCTCCCCCTACTCATCAAACATGGGAGCTCCTAATACTTGATTCTAGTTCTTTCTTGTCCTCGTCTTGTGCTCTCTCCCCAGTCCATTGCATGCATTCCCACAGCTTCCGTTACCATCTTTGTGACATCCAACTCTGCCTCTCCACCCTGGGTTTCTGTAGTTTCACACCCACATGTCCACCTGCTTAATTGATATTGCTATCTGGATGTCGTGCAGGCATTCCAAAATCGATGTATTTAGTACTGACGTTAGATCTTTC